GCGCCGCCCGGCGGCAGCGGCCCCGCTCTACGAGCGGGCACGGCGCGGCCGGTCCGGCCCGGCGACCAGCTGGCCGTCTGGTTTGACGCCGAGCTCAGCCAGCTGGCCGACGTACCTTTCCTCGGACTGCGCAACATACAGGGTGAGTCCCCGCCGCCGCCGCCGCTCTGGCTCAGAGTTCGTGAGCACTGAGCATGTCATGTTTACACATTACGTCATTACAACCATGGTGAGCGGTTTCCGTTAGATGTTGTTGCCACCAACCAGCATCGGTGTTGTTTTTCTGTGTGTCATTCCAGACGGGGCCATAATCATAAGGGGATATCCTGTCCGTCTCCGAAGCGAGCACGGACCTGTTTCTAATCCAAACCATGTAAAAGCACGCATCAGCGGTCAACACTGCTTTATCATAAGCACTATTTATAGTCACCGTGATAAACACCAAATGTGATGGTATTGACGTAAACACGGTGTAGTAAGTCCGCCTATTTCATCCCGTCTGGGAGTCGTTACTAATCCCGTCCTCGGACAGCCGGCGCCGGTCGGTCGATCGGTCCTTCCACCGTTACTTGTTGACATGGACAGATGATCAATTTACCGCCTGGCGTGACCCTTCAGCGCCGGCCCCTCCCCCCCCCCCGCGGCAGCCAATGGCCCGACAACACGGCTCGCGCCTCTGCAGCCAGTGGCCTAGCGGTGTGTGTTCTGCTGTGTAATGTGTATTATATATGACCATGTTGCAGGTGAAATGCAAGACGCGGATAATATCTATTTGAACACTGTAAATGAAGTGAAATGTTAACCCATTTATGCCCAGGAATATTGACCATCATGAAAATCGACGAAATCAAAATATGTTATGCTCCTACCAGGGCCTTGCATGGAATCGAAAATAATTTTTGCCTGCAGCAAAAGTTTTTCGAGAAAAACGTAAAAAACATGCGTTGCGAAATCGCAACGAAGGGCACACCGGGCGCCATCAGCGTTGCGAAAACGCAACGACGGGCACATCAGACGGACATAAAGTACATTGAACTGCCGTATATGCTAATATGTTTTGACAAAACATCAATCAACTGTTGACAACTATTGCTTGAAAATGCGGAACCCACATCCGCCGTGCTCTATAACCCGCCTAAGAGCCTCGGTGAGGAAGCATAACTTCATGATTCGCGAACGGGGAGATGGCAACACGGTCATTATCAACCATTTACGTTGTCCATTGCTGTTCATTTAAAGTTGTGGTCGACACGTAGCCAGGGTGATGCTTTCTTTTTGGAAGCTAGACAGAGCCATTACCCCCACCTATCAGACCCCATACTAATACAATTAAACGGAGGATTGGGAGTAAACCAGTGCCTCACGCATGCGCGTATATCCGCAATCATTGTTAACCACCCTCCTAGGAGTAAAGTTAAATTCCATTGCAGGTTAGTCGTACCCACTCTCAGCAAAAAGAAAAAAAAGGACCGATCCGGCTCTAACAAATAACCCGCGTAAGGCGTAGCGCATCACAACAAATCGACTCCCAGTTTATCATGTTTACACCTAATCCAAAATTTTCATGGCCCCACTCTCAGCGACCTTCACGTGTAACCTCTTTCTCGAGACAATGCCAGGACAGAATGGTGATTCGACGTCAATCCGTCCTTTCCATCTTCAGGATAGTTGAATCCTCCTCCACGCCTCAACCCCCCTGTTCCGGACTGGACCGGCAACGTATATCGCAATCGGGCAGCTCACATAGGAGCGCGCCTGTAGCCGGGTGCAGTGAGTGCTTGGGAGGGGGGGAAGGGGTGGGTCATGGGTGGCCTGCCCACTGGCTGGGCTCAGTCTCCAGTCTACGATTAACCGTGTCCGGTCAGACAAATGTCTCCCCTAATTCCAATAATCCTGCTAGCTCTAAAAATGATCTGATTAGATAAAAAGCATATCAAAGTAAGAAAACAAGCGTATACTCCACAATCCACATCAAGCAGCTTATGAATCTATGCGAGTTATGAATCCTAAAAACTATTATTTTTCCAGGTCCGCCCTCATTACCCCTGCCGAAGGGCTCAGCTACCCGCAGAGGGGGCCTATCCCACTATTTGCCGACCCTCAGTTATCTTTTCTAACGTAAATGTTGGTAGTCAGCAGATTCTATCCAGAGAGTGGCGATGCCTATCTGTCGCCTGATACCAGAATACATCCCCGTTGTTTATTATTTATGCACAATGTACATAGTAGATCCAATTTCCAAAGGACCTAATTATCTCTCAGCTCCGTTAGCATCGCCGACCGTTTGATGCATGAGTCCTTTTCCTACCATGCGATTTTCAGATGCATGGGAACACATTGCTTGGTGAACGAACAGTCCGAGGCCGATAATCTGCGAGAGAAAAAGAAAGGAGTGTTTGTGGCTGTTTGAGCCAGCAAATATGAAATGTGTCGCAACATTTTACGTGCGAACGCACCTTGCACTAGACATACCTATCCTATACACGTCCCTCATGGCATAGGCGGCGGAGCGGGGGGGGAGGGGGCACCAGGGCACCGTGCCCCCATTCATTTTGCTATTTTAACATTATCCCTATAGGCGTTGCATGGAAATGGAAATGGAAAGAATGGGACCAAAAGTCGGCAGTGCCCCCCCCCCTTAATTGAAGATATTCCGCCGCTACAGCCTCATGGCTACAAAATGAAAGAAAGAAAGAAAGAGAGAGAGAGAGAGAGAGAGAGAGAGAGAGAGAGAGAGAGAGAGAGAGAGAGAGAGAGAGAGAGAGAGAGAGAGAGAGAGAGAGAGAGAGATAGAGATAGAGAGAGAGAGAGAGAGAGAGAGAGAGAGAGAGAGAGAGAGAGAGAGAGAGAGAGAGAGAGAGAGAGAGAGAGAGAGAGGGAGGGAGGGAGAGAGTTGGGGAACGAGGAGGAGAGGGAGGAAGATGGGGAGAGAAAGAGAGAACCCACAGCGTATCACGAGTGAAGTCTACTGTTGATATTCATACTTCCGCTACCCTGCCAATGTGCCCATCGTTGCGTTTTCGCAACACCGCTGTCTTTCCGATGTGCCCTTCGTTGCGTTCCCGCAACGCGACCGTAGTCATATTTGAAAATAGTCACAAACCCTTTTTGTAGCATTATTTCTGAACAAAATGCATATCTACGCTATTGTAGGGACTCTGCAGAATATGTTTACACAATTTTCATTACGATATTATTAAGCACTTGGCCTACTTATCTTGGTTTTCGTGACGTCATCACTCACAAAACCTTCGACCTCCCTCTGGGAGCTCTAGGCAGTAACTTACCGGCCGCACAGACTTGTAACTGCGTAGCATCATGCGCACAACCATGCTACATACGCTGAAACTTGTCTCATCGGTTAGTCTCTTTTACACAATTCTCAAGCTTCGATCACGTCGACGCTTGCTTGCGTTGCGAAAACGCAACGATGAACGAAGGGCGTAAATGGGTTAATGAACCTTACGGTACATACACCGTAGAATGCAGAAACAATGCCCCTTGATAGAATGCTCCACTCAGCAATGCTCCATCCATGACACATACACTGGGCGTCCTGTCTGTTGCGTTCCGTCAGCAGGAAGCGTGCTCGCCCCCGTCTGTCTGCGTTTCCCTCCGCCCCACCAGGTGGCAGGCCCTGTAACCGCTACACAGGTCCCCCGAGTGACCCGGGGTCACTGACCTCCTCTGTCCCACCTTCACAGGCGGGGTCAGGGCCTATGCCCACCCACGTGTCATCTCGTAACTTCCCAGCGTCTTCCACCCCTAAAGGCTAGGCAGGGACAGCTCCCTGACCACTCAAAAGTCCGCTGAGTGACACCCCCTGTTCCCCTTCACAGGCGGGGGCCGGTACGGGTGCCACCTCTGCGGCCAGCTGTTCCAGCAGCCTAACCCGCTGAAGCTGCACCTGGCCGTGGGCTGCCGGGGCGGCCGGCTGGCCTGGCCGCCCGGCCCCCCTCAGCCCTCGCCCAGCCCGGGCCACGTCTGCGCCCAGGTCGAGTCGCTCGTCTCCAGCATGGGCCGCTCGAGCAAGGGCCACGTGTGCCTCTACTGCGGCAAACTGTACTCGCGAAAGTACGGCCTCAAGATTCACATCCGCACGCACACGGGCTACAAGCCGCTCTGCTGTCGCATCTGCGCGCGCCCGTTTGGCGACCCGAGCAACCTCAACAAGCACGTGCGACTGCACGCCGACGGCGAGACGCCCTACAGGTGAGGAACAAAGTGCCTGCAGCCAGCAGAGGTACTGTGCCGGAGGCCGCATTCATTCAGAACGAATCCAGCAAGGCTGCAAAAACACCAACTAATAGCGGAAAGGAGTGCTCATATCCTTACTGTCAGTCTTTAGCGCACTTAATCGACGACTTGTTCGATCGAACAAGTAATTAACAGGCAGCTGCCGACCCGGCTAGGGCTTTATCAGTAGCGACTAGCGACCTGGGGCGCCCCCTGCCGCGGAGGTCGCTCCGACACCGTCCCTATGCCGCCAGGTGCGAGATCTGTGGAAAGGTGCTGGTGCGGCGCCGGGACCTGGAGCGACACATGAGGTCGCGACACGGGCAGACGCCGGCCGGGGCCGCCGAGACGGCCACCGCCCACCCGCCGGCCACATAGCGCAGCCGGGCTAACGCGCTCGGAACGGTGTCGAGTCGATACAGCCACTCAGGTGATCTCAGAAATGCCAAACTGTTCGTACAAATGCGTGTGTACCAATGCTAGTGTTCCTACCAAATGCGTGAACAAATACTGTACAAATATACATATCGTAAAGAGGCAATGCCTTTGTAGAATGAACTTGGCTTCTCAGCTGGGACTCCACCCACCCTAATTTACTTTCAACTCTCCTTCGTCTCACGTCAGATCCCTTCCACTGCCGTGTCTAGGAGCACGTTCCACGTGTTCCCAACCGAGCGATTGTCGAGCCTCCACTTCTCCGGTCACCCAGGCCCGGAGTCCCGGTCCTCGACTGGACTGCCACACCCCCACAGCAGACCCACCCTATAGCCACTGAGCCCATCTCCACTAACACACATCTCACGTTCTGTCTGGTCGTGTATTGGGCGATGTGAAATAGCGCTCTGCCGCCCTGCGTGATGGCCGTCTAGCTCTTCTGCGCCAGCCGCCGGTCGCGCTCCTCGGCGATCGACAACTTGACACCCTTGCCCTTGGGCAGCGACACGTAGGCGCGCGTGCCCTTGCCGATGACGAACACGTTGTGCAGCCTGCCGACGGCACAGAGCGCAGTTAGCGACACATGTGCTGCGAGAGGTGGCTGCCACCAGCCACCACACGCAACGAGGACGCTACACGGACACTAACCAGAAAAAGTGAACACTAAACAGAATAAAAATGGCTTTGAATAAAAAACTGCGATAAAATACATCATGAGTATAAAAGATCGAAATTCGAGCATATAAGTTCACCTTCAAAAATGCACTCAGAAAGGCAATGTGCCTACCGTGAAATAACACCAGTATAACGCCTTTTGGGGCGACTAACGGAGCGAGCGAGAGGGTGGGCCTTGCACGTGCGAAATTGCGAGGGGGTACCTCTAACTGACTTGTGCACGGCACCCTACTAACCGGTCTCTAGCGATGTGCCAAATTTGGGCACAATCGGCCCAGCCGTTCTCGAGATCTGGAAGCGGCACCCTGCACGTGCGCACGTGCAAAATGGGTCCCAACTGACTTGTGCACGGCACCCTACTAACCGGTCCCTAAATGTGTACCAAATTTGAGCGCAATCGGTCGAGCCGTTCTCGAGATCTGGAAACGACCCCTGCACGTGCGCACGTGCAGCGGCACCCCAACTCTGGCACATGGATATGCAGTGCCTAGTGGGTGCCTACCTACATGCCAACTTTCAGCGCAATCGGCCAAGTAGTTACCGAGATATTGCAACAATTACAAAAGTGACACCTCTTCGTTTTGCACGTGGCACGTGCATAAGGGGTCACCCACATGCATCGGGAATAGTCCAATACTTGGTAGAAGGAATGAAGCTACCCTACAAAAATTACCGCATGTAAATCGGTCAAGTGGTTGCTGAGATATAAGCCTCGCAAAAGCGTCCGCACGGCCGGCCGGCCGGCCGCTCATACTCAGAAATTTCCGTTATTCTACGTAAGACTCCGCTCGCTTCGCTCGCTCCGTAATGAGAGCAACGATACACCACTGTTCACGGTGACATTAACAGAAATATACAGGAAATTGAACAAAAATGCTAATTGTACACTCCATTGGTAATGCTGCTCTTGGACGAGAATCACAAAACCAGCGACCGTTGGAGAGCCGTTTCTGTTGCCAAGATTTTGAACGCGCCTCCACAGAGTTGGTGGCGGCGCGTCTTCGGTCTGGCGTCACTAGCCCGTGTGTCGCGGAGGGGGGGGGGGGGACCGTACCTGGTGGCGAACTTGTGTCCGGCCGTGTCCTTGACGTGCACGATGTCGAACGAGCCAGGGTGACGCTCCCGGTGGATGATGGTGCCGACACGACCCAAGTTACGGCCGCCGGTGATCATGCACAGGTTACCTGCCGACAGTTACGGAGAGGAGCGTTAGTTTACGTAGGAACATTTCACGGACAATGTGCAACTGGTCCTAGCTAACAGTGACAACAGGCACTGACAACGCTTTATATCTAACGTCAAAGCCACGGCGCAATGCTAACACGAAACCACAGATAACTAGCAGACAGACGCCCACAAAACACAAAGCAGTCATCAAGGTCGGCAGCGCGTCGTCTGCGCGTGTCCTGTCCATTGGTGATGCTGCCCTCAGACGGACACAGAGGCCAGCGACCGTTGGAAAGAGGATGCTATAGCCAAGCTTTTGAACACGCGTCCACCGAAAATATGAACACGCGTCTTCGAACTGGCAAATGACATTTGTCAAGTTGTGCATCGACAACAGCTAGACCCCTGCATAGATGTATACCCTGTAGGTCCACTGTTGCCTATGAAGTGTGTATGTATACTGCAGTTTTATAACATACTTCACTGTAGGAGAACGACAGCTAACAGCACAATAAGCAACAAATAAAGCTCCATACAAATTGTAGGTAAAATGTTTCTGGCTTACGACCATGTGTTAGCCGACACGTCCTAGCACATGGATCATATTATACACCGCATATCCGGAAATATTTTAAGTTTTTTTTTTCACAAGGCCAAAGCTGAAGAACAGACGTTTCTCAAGTTCAACCAATTGACGGTTTTGCAAACATTTTCATTTGATAAAATTCAGTCAGACTATTTCTCTGAGTTTCGTGAATTGTAGTGAATAGGGCGAAGTGATGTTACACACCGCCGACAATCTATCACCGTTGCAACCCTAGATCCTCGGGAGGACAAAATATCGTCTGCGCGTGTCCTGTCCATTGGTGATGCTGCCCTCAGACGGGCACAGAGGCCAGCGACCGTTGGAAAGAGGATGCTATAGCCAAGCTTTTGAACACGCGTCCACTGAAAATATGAACACGCGTCTTCGAACTGGCATCGGTATTTATCAAGCTGTGCAATAATCGATAACAGTAGACTTCTGCCGCAGGTCTATCAAGTCCACTGTCATCTATGAGCTGCTATGCATAACATTTATAATAGCCCTCTTATTTGCCTCAGTTTACGAACACCGGCGTATAATGCGACGAATTTATGACGGATCATCTGTTCAGGCGATATACCCTGGAATGCGCACAAATTTATTCCTAACATTGAGATTGTAGCCTAGACTTATCCCTGGGCATGATATGCGCATTATAACGATCCCATGGTTCGACAGAAATGAGAAGCTCCACAATCATATCCACATCTGCAAAAGCTTTGCCCGAAAAAGAAGCTGAGTAACATAATCGTAAAACTATGCACAATCTAAAGGTAACCACAGCCTGCTGCTCAACTAAGAATCGAGCTGAGTAAGTTACGCTGGAGTATGACGACTGAACGGCTTGTGACTGGCTTCTGGACGCAAGACGTAATATGGATTCGGCCGGTCCGGACTCGGAGCTCGAACGTCCGAGGCTGACCAGCCTCCCCAACTGTTGCACAGTCCTGATAAACAATGGCTTCGTGTGAATGCCACCGACCGAATCACAAAATGGCCGGGTGCAGTCTCCCACCTCTCGTCCCCTCGCCCATCCAACAAACTCCACACTTGCTCACACTCATGGTAACATATGTAAAGGACAGGTGCATTGTGCACTGCTGTCATACCCACACCATTAGTATACCAGAACACACCGCACACAATCCGTGGCAGTCGAGCGCCACATGCACACATTGGCAGTTTAGCCGCACAGACACTGACACACAGACACACGGTATCGGGCGAAACTCCCCGGTTGGTGGTCTACCTACAGTTCAGACACTGAGACACAGACACAAACACACTGGTAGTTGATCAGCAAACTCTCCTAGCAGGTAGCATAGCAGCTCAAACGAATTGTACTCGTCATTGGTAATGCTGACCCCAGATGTGGGCCGGGGCCAGCGACCGTCGGCGAGCCATCACTGTCGCCGAGCTTTTGAACACGCGGCCGCAGTGCACAGCCGCGCGTCTTCGAACTGGCTTTGTGTCCCACGCGCTCACAGCCCACCCTACCGACCCTAACACACCTAGCCGCCCTACGGAACTCACCGGTGTCGAATTTGAGATAGTCCTTGATCTTGGCGGTGGCCAGGTCGAGCTGGATGGTGTCGCTGACCTTGATCTGCGGGTCCGGGTAGCGGATCGTGCGACCGTCGTGGGTCAGCAGGTTGGGGATGCCCTTGGGGCCGACGCGCAGCTCCTTGACGCGGCACAGCTTGTACTGCGGGCGGGCAGACGGAGAGACGTTACCGAGCGGGTCGTGAATCAGCCTCGAGGTTTCCAGGTGCCTGACACGAATTATTTCATGCAACAGCCTGGTAGTATGATGGTATGGAGGAGCCCAGAATACAGGGAAGACTAGGGTTACCCGCGTGCTCCGCAACGCAAAGAAGGGTTATTTTTGACCCGTGGGTATTGGGTTGGTCTGTGTCGATTTGGTTGGTGTCCATTTCGTTCGATTGCTTTTTGACGGCCAAACATTTTGTAGTGAAACAAAAAAGATCCATCGCATCGAGGTGCCCGTGTCGTATTATCATGCGTTCTACTTAAGAATGATTCGAAAACTGGCGTGAAGTCTTTTGAGGGCCATCGATGAATTTCGCTAAAAATGACGATGTAATGGTTTGGAACATTTACATTTTTAAGAATACTGTAGCCCGTCATGCAAAAATGAAGAGTGAATATTGGACAGAATTGAATGCTCTTTCCAACGGTGCTAATTTTTAATTGCCAGAGATATCAGATCATGGAGCAAACCCGTGTGATAAATAAAGTGGCACAAAATTGACAAACACCATTTTCTCCCGTGATTTGTACCACCTTGATTTGGATCAATCAGCTTTTCACATTTTTCCATGAGAGGCGGTACATTTTTATTGCTAATAGGCGTTGTTTCAACTCGCTCCGTCTGACGGTCACCTGAAAATAATATAAATTCCGAAATCCGTCCAAAACGTCAATTTTCCAAATAAAAGTGCCCTCCCCAGTGCACGTGGCGCGTGCCATCCCCTGCACCGCACACCATTCGATAGCCCGTTCAATTATCTACACGATGCTGTTTTCCCCGTGCCGATCGGGCCCACGGTTACCGAGATATTTCACGGGGACGTGGCGCGTGTCGGGCAAATTTGGCCATTTTCGACTGATTTCGCAAGCCGATTTATACATGTAAAGTCTATGACGCGAATTTGCACTTTTTGGGCACGCGCCACGCGCTCCCTATCGACCCGATCGAGGTCAGACCCCTCAAAGGCACGTCGCGCATCCTTGATCTATGATTTGTGCAAATTTCACCGGGCTAGGTGCAACGGTCTGGCCTGTAGTCCACGCAAAGCAGCACCAAGTCGGGACCTCGGTAACGGACAGACGCACCCTCCTCAAATAGTAATATAGATGAGACGATAGCAGACAGTACCCAAAGCCCACTGTCGCCGATACAAAACGCTAATCGATTAAAAAAGGTTCATAGCCGCTGAGCAATGTCCGACCGTTTAGGAGTGACGTGATCAGCGGAGCACACCACTTGGTTATGGTCGCTTCTCTGTAGTCGCGGGAGAACATGGACAGAAGTGGTATATCGTGCCCACGTTTTCAACACGACGGTGCGCTGTCCGGCCGGCCGGTTCACTCACCGATGCCTCCTCCTTGGTGATGCGGTGCACGGTGAACCGTCCCTTCACGTCGTAGATGAGACGGAAGTTCTCGCCCGTCTTCTCAATGGTGATCACGTCTGGGGGCAGAGACACCGGCTGATGAGGCTGGTGATACAACGCCATACACGACCACCACACGACAGACACGGGCCTCAGAATGTCTGACCAGTTAGGAGTGAGATGCTCAAAGGAACAAAACACTTGGTTTAGGTCATTTCATGTTGCCATGGGAGAATATGATGAGAAAGATCATCAACACCACATTTTCAACATGGCCAGCAACAAACGAGGCAAAACAAACACTTTGGACACCCCTTTCAACTACTTGCTACCTCCACTGCACCCCCAGCAGGAGCAACGACACGGACCAGACCAAAGTCGTCGGAAACCAGCGACGATCATCAAAGTAACGACTTTAGCGCATTGAACCCAATGTTGAAGTAACTGACTGATGATGATGATGATGAAATGGGGTTTTTGGGCGCCCGGAGAAGTAGGTAACTGACTGATTCGAGTAATGTTGCACAAGTGTACAGATGGGTGTATGAGTGTGTCTGTACAAGTTTGCAAACATGAAACTCACCCATGAATCCGGCGGGGAAGGTCGCGTCAGTGCGGACCTTGCCGTCAACCTTGACAAATCGCTGCATCAGGATCTTCTTCACCTCTGTGCCGTTCAGGGCGTACTTGAGACGGTTTCTCAGGAAAATGAGCAGCGGGAGCGACTCCCGCAGCTTGTGGGGGCCACAGCTCGGGCGCGGGGCGAACGGGCCCCCGAGCTTCCCCAGCATCCATGCCTTGGGGGCATTGAGACGCTTCAAGTGCTTCTTCGGTCCTCTCGCCTGGAAAAAGCCACTGTCATTAGTACTGACATATAATAGCAATGCATCTCGCCTTTGATACATATGTCAAAACCGATTAAAAAAGTAAAGGCAAGAAAGGTAGAAAAACAATAAATGGTAAAGAAAAATATTAAATGGTAAATATGGTAGGAAGACCAGTGGACACCTAAAGAAAAGAAAAACAAAAATACCAGCTGTGAGCTGCTATTCCTGGTAATCTGAAAAACAGCTGAATATGAACTACTTATACGAGAAAATAAGAGGACTAGAAAAAATCCAACTGAGACTTCAGGCAAAAATGACTGCTGCTGAAGGTTTTCCTAAATAAAACTGGCCTAAAGCCACATTGATGGCAATGACTCAAGCTCAGCAGTCTTAACTAAAAGGATTTTACAAAAGAAAAGTTTACAATTGGCATGTGACTACAAGTACCTACTACCTAAGGAATTTTGAAATGGAATGGAATGAAAAGAAATGGCACGGGAACTTAGGGTGGAAAATCACACTTAATGAGGAAAATATTTTCATCCCCAAAATAACAAAAAGTGGCATGATTTAATCTTTGGAAAGTTTATTATGTATTCAAACAGCTATTTGACAGCTAATCAGCTATCAGCTGATCAGCTATAAAACAGCTTATCACTTGATGGTTGAATCCACATCCTTTGCTTTCAGATCCTGTCAAGTTTCTTAGATTAAATCCTGCTCTTATCAATTTGCTTTGAAAATGGAGGAATGCCCTTTCAGCAAAAATACTATGGGTATTTCCTTTTTTATCCTAGGATTTTTTCTTCATTGGCATATTCAACCAGAATTCAATTTTAGAACACTGTCTCCAGTTATGCAACACACCTTACACTAAAGCTAGTTCTTCCAACAGCAGCCCAATTTTGTGGCCTAAAGCATGGAGTTTGGTGCTTTGTATAGAGCCTCTGCACTTAACATTGTTCCTACAATGCCTTCTCAGTAAAATCTATAACTCAAGCTCATAAGTGATATTTCAGTCTTGATGATAAATGCCGCTTGTGTGTTTTATTTAACAAAGAAGTATCAGGGATTTAAAAGAAGTTACTTTTAAATCCCTGATAATAAATGTAAATATGATTCAATACTAACATTAAATAAGCTAAGTAACTATACAATTAAAGTAGACTAGAAAGCATAGCTGACCAGCCATCCATAGAATGTAACATTTTGTTTAAAAGGAAGTGTTGAATTTTTCTTCTCTAATCACTTAACATATCAATGACACTAACAAATTTAATGAAATTTCAGTAATGCCACTACAAATTAAGTGACATTATCAACCTGACTAAACAAAAATAGCTAATCCATAGCTAATCTAAACATATATCCATCAAGCCTTTTTCTTACTGACTAGTGGTGGTGGATGGAACACCATAAGGCCAGTGGACAACATAAGCTACCTACCTTATTTAGTTACCCTCTGTTACAGTTTGCTAACTGTCTAAGGGTTTGTTCCCGTCGCTCCTCTAACCTCCTCCAAGCTCCTCTAACCTCCTCTCGTTTCAAAAAATCGTTCCCGTCGCTCCTCCAAGCTCCTCCAAGCTCATCTTGATTTCACATCTCACCACCACTATTTGCCTCCTCCCTCATCCCAAACGAAAGTTGGTTTTTTGGAGGAGGCTCTTGCGTAGACATATTTGGCGCACGTAATACAAAAGTGAATTGTTTATAAATGAGATTTGAGGGAAGTGGAAATGATTTTAGAGATTGATGACGATTGGATATCTTTAAATAGTAAGGCTTGATATAAATCTAAGGTTATTTTATAAGAAAGCGATAATTATCTCCTGATTTATGTTTGCGCGCCATAAATCGCCGACCGTTACAGCCCGCAAACAGCTGATTTCCTCGCGAAAATGTTCCCGTGGCTCCTCTGAAACGGCTCTCCTCCAAGCTCATCCAACCTCATCCGAGATTTTTTGGGAGGAGCGACGGGAACAGACCCTAAACATTCTACTTTTACTAACTTGTTGCAACCATAGGTCAACTCCTTTACTATCAGCACACAATTATTTTCATTTTTCAACAATAATCCTTCAATTCAATCGCTTTGACCATCTCAATATCCTCCTTAGTTCAGGTCTCAATGGCTTTAGGACCAATTCACAAAGCTTAGAAATTAATATGACCTACTCCCAGCCCAATTGAGGTAAAGGTCTAGCAGGTTTTAGCTATAGGTTTTGCACCTAGAAAATTTAGTGTACTTCAGTCTATATCTTCGTCAGCTTTAAGTGTTGAAGATGCGATCGACTTGTTGGTTCACAAGCCGGCCATGATCATGTAAAATGGCTTCATCGTAGAACAATTTGTTTCTGAGATATAACCATAATGTTAATGTGCAAAACCTACCGCTCAATCTCGCAGTCGCAAGATCCGTACATTCTGAGCATATTCCTTCAAACCCTAGCATCATAGCATCTAAAGTCAACATGCCAGGAAACAATAACAGACCAAGCCCAAATGGGGTTAATGTTGCAAATCTAGTGATAATTCTAAAAACTACCCACACAAGCATCAAATGCATGGCACAACACATCAAAAAATAGTGTGACATTAACCACATAAGTAATAATGGATAACCTTTAGGTACCCTTCCACGGCAACAGGGATCCGAACAGAGATGTGACGAGACGAGTTTGAGTTACCTACATGAGAAACTTGACATCTGGCACCAGCAAAGCCTACTTGAACGATTTAAAAGAAATAATGATCTTCATCTTAAAAGTAATCGTGACTAACAACCAGTTTTGCTTGCGAGAACAACAAGTAAATGTAGAAAACGACGATTGTCGACCCACCATGATTGCGGCGCTTACAGAAAGGACATGCTGCGTTGCCAGAAAAACAAACTCACAAGCAATAAGAAAGGAATTTAAAATATCATTTTTAAACTGTCAGGAAATTTTTGTCACTTCTATTTTTTTAAAACATTTACACAATTCATCTTCACTTTTCATCTCATAAATACACCTCATTTTTTGTTTTGTTTTATTCTAATGCAATATTGTTTTGTTGCTTTCGATGAAAAGTTTCATGTTGAATTGTTTGTTTGTACCGAATTGTTGGAGAGAAATATTCTTTTCTTCTATTTTGAAAATATTTTGACTTTTAAGATGAAAACTTTAACAAAAAATTGCCTAAGCATATTTCAACGTTCTGCAGTGAAATAGGCTCCATACAAATAAGATGAAAAAGGCGCACATATGCTCATCATGGCGCAGAGGAAAAATCGGGACGACGGTGAAAACAGGGCGCCTGGGGCGATTTGATCAAGTTTCGTGAATTTTACACGTGACGTTTGGCATAGGTATAGAAGGCCCTTGGAGCGGGAGCAGTTCCAAATGTCACGTGACCAATATGCCCTCCGGCGCCCTGTTTTCACCGGCGTCCAAAAATCGAATAGGAAACAAACATTTTATTTTGATTTGATTTTATTTTATTTGTAACTTGCATCGCTTGCATCAGTCGGTTGTTATACACGGCCTTGGTCGGTTGAAATAGTTTGCTTTGTGTGAGTGTGGGTGCCTTAGGGCAAGATTCCCTTAGGGGCATGGGAGCGTACCGTAAAACGGGGTGACAATGATACCCGGGGTGACTGATCACAGACCAGGTTTCGGGCCCAAGATGAGCATTTTGCTGCTGTGAACTGTATTTTCTATGCCAATGGTTGAATAAAGCAATGAAGCATTATAGCAGACACTTTGGTTCCAGTTAAAATGATAATGTTGATGTCACAGCATGTTTTTTTGTCATTGGCATGAAGTATAAATTTGCTAGCGTCTCCAGCAATAATAATGGTAAAGATGAGAAAGACCCAGATAAAGAAAGAGAAAGCAAAGGCGTGTGAAAGGGCACACAATTTAATTATTGAAATGTTTTGCATATTCTATCGCAAAACAAGTCAGGTTTCAGTTTAGTAATCGCGGATAAGGATTCTGAGCAATAATCGCCACACACTTTCAGAATGTGGATCGCTCATGATTGTACAATACAATACAATACAATACAATACAGTCTGTTGTGATCTGACATTTTTTACATGAATTATTCATGAATAAACAACCTCTGCCCATATATGCATAGGTGTTACCACCAGGGGGGAGGGGGTTGGTTTTCTACATACGCCCCTGCCAAGGGAGGTTGAAATGAAAAAGGCTGCCACTTTAATGCGCCGCCGACGCGGAGCTTGTTCCCAAGTTCCCAGGTCACGTTGGATAAAGGTGACCGGTCATCCCGGATCAGAGAGTGGAAGCATGGAGAAGAGTCCGACCTCCCTGGGGTCGCTGGGGATGGTCAGGGATTACAGTAGCTGTTATCTGTTACAGATTTAATTTATTTCTGACTCACTACCAGGAAGTGCTAAGAAGCAACTGATCATAACCGATTTTATTTCACAGATTCTAACGCCATTTGATAAAGATGAGTGACAAAGATATGCAAACTTTTCTTATTTTGGAAAATGAAGATATTTCTCAGCAAGAAGCAAAGTATGAGGAAGGTAGCTCATCCGGATCACAGGAGAACATGGGGTAAGATGTAAAACATGGCTCATCGAAATTCCATTAATGCTTTTTCTGATTTAGATTTTTTTTTAGTCCGAACCTTCTGAATGGAAGAATTCACAAGGAGAGAGTCCCCGCTAAGCGAAGCTTGCTGCGTTGACCCTGCCCTCTACCCTCCGATTGTGCAATTCCAATTCTATGGCAGAAATTGGAGCCCAAAGTTTAGCGTGCGCACATAGCCGCGCACGGCCGGTCCCCTCACTGACTTCACCTGACTACGGCCTGCCACCAACCGCAACCATACCTGTCAGGAGGCCCATAAACGCCAGGCGCCCGTCGCGCTTCGAACACGGTCTATTATAACCGGGAACGCGTGCTCTCACCACGCGCAGTCCAACGCTCTACTGACTGAGCTGCGGGACTGTGCTTTCTTTCACAAAAAGTAGTGAGTGAAAGTGATATCGTTAGAATAGTTTCCCAAAATGAACCTCTCATTTTTTTCGACTTTGCCTACTGCGATGTAAAAGTTCTGAGTATTTGACGTTTTGTCTTTTACAACCTGGGTCTCATTGACTTGAGTGGTAACAACATAATTTGACAGTACATTTGTGTGTGTATATTTGACGTGGCCGACTGTGCGCGCCGCCGTCAGGTACGTCCACCACACGGTGCAGGCGGACAAGGTGCACATCAAGGTGCACCCGGGCCTGCAGGCGATGCCGTCCGACCCCAGCCACGCCACCATGACGCTCACCTCGCGCGACCCCAACACCAACCTGACAGAGGTGAAGCGGCTGCACTGCACCTACGAGGGCTGCACGCGCTCCTACAGCACACGCGGCAACCTCACCACCCACCTGAAGAAGCACACAGGTCAGACTGCCGGCCGGAGGGCGCACAGGTCAGACTGTCAGCAGGGATGTGCTGTAAGTCTGTGCTGTCAGTTGTGTGCTGTGCTGTGCCATGCTGTTTTATGTACTGTCGGGAATCTGTCAGCATAAGTAAAGGTTTGTGCCGACTGCCGAGCTGGGGGTGCCCGAGCTCTCCCAATTCCACTCTGGCTTGGCTTTGGAGCCGCAGCAGACGGTGGAGGTCAAGGTCACCGTTAGGGCGGCGGCGGATTTGCTGCGCCCAGGCAGCCCCAGCTCAGCACAAACATCTTCCTATGGCTGTCAGTAGTTTACTGGGGTGTGCACTGGTAATAAAATTCTGGGGATTAGACATCTGGTCAGGTGTCTGATCACTTTCCCTGTTTGATTCATATTGGCAAGGACATTATCAAGCTCATAAAGTCAGTTTTTACCGCTTGACGCGGCTTATCTTGTCTGGACCCGACCACTTTTTTACTCTGTTTATCGTTATCGCATCGCACATATCTTTGAAAAGAGGACATCTCGCGATAAGCGGTCATAAAACACGTGCAGTGTGACCAGGACCATTATATAACAACGGTTAGATGTTTAGAAATGAGAAATGAAACCAAACATGCTTTCATTTTTGTCACTGTATGTCCATATTGTGCAATAAATTTTGTCGTACTGTACATGACGCTACCTAGTACATATCCTTATCGTTATTCGCACGTTACGTTTTTATCAGATTTAACCACTTTCGAGAATTTTTAGAATCGGCACTGATATCGTTATAAAAACATTTACAACATTTTTGTTATCTTTTCAAAATAAGTTTTTAACCTGCTGTTGAGGCATTTTTTCGCGTGTTTGATTCTGACTCGCACCGTTGCAGGCGAGTACAACTTTGTGTGCACGGACCCGAGCTGCGGCAAGATGTTCATGACGTCCTACCGACTCAAGGTGCACCTGCGCGTCCACTCGAAGCAGCGCCCCTACGGGTGCGACATCTCCGGCTGCGAGAAAACGTTCCGGACGCTCTACAGGTAACGCTGACACGGGGCGGGTGGGCGCGGGATCTGTCGCTGCAGCGGATCATGTCATGGGCGTGTTTTTTGTGATTGTTGGCGCTTCAGACTTATGAACCCGTTTTGTGAACACTTTGTTTGCTGATCGATAAAATGAGTGACGGGTAAACCTTTTGCAGTCATGAAAATGGATGATGGTAGCTAGCACATGGTCATGTGTATGGCCCGGTCGATGGTTGCGCTCGTACGATCGCTGCTCTCGCTATGAGCCGGCGGCGGGCGGTCGGAGCCGGCGGCGGCGGTCCAGCGCGGCGGAGAGTGCCGGCGGGCAGGTGGTCAGACGCCGCCTGTCCCACACTGAGGCCAGTACACGTGTCACCCCGTCCCAACTGAGCACCACCGTCCACTGCCAATGGTCCAGCCGGGCAGCGGGAGACCGGCAAACGAACACCTGTGTGTGTGCCAACTGTTTGGTTGATTTGGTTGATTTCTGATGTGTTATAAACGGTATTTTTGTATTTATTGGTGGATGCCATGTATTCATTTGATTTATTATGTTTTGGAAGAATGCTGTCGTTATATGACCGGGCTTCTTCAATCTTCATGCTTTATTTGATAGATTCGTTATTTTGTTTTATCGTTTGTTTCATTGTAGAAGACTGCGGTTGTTTGATAAGTCTTTTCCATTTTTACTTCGATGGACTGCGTGAGTGTAATTTGCTGTTGTTGCCTCGTTTCAGGCTGAACTCTCATAAGCGTATTCACGAGGGCACTACGTTTAACTGCTCGGAGCAAGACTGCCTGAAGTTCTTTACCACACTTTCCGATCTCAAGAAGCACAAGCGCATTCACACGGGCGAAAAACCGTTCAGGTACGTTCAGAGCTCCATCACCATTTCATGTCTGTAAATGTCCGAATAATCCGCCGTTGTGTCTAAATTAATTGTGTTTTTCAATGTGAAGGGAGTGCTTTTCCGTATTCCGCTAGCATAGAAAATGGCCTTGGCTCTCGGCTGCCCAGTAATTAACCTTCTTTGGCCGCTGCGCATGCCCGGTTTAGTGACTATTGTCTGCTCTGTCCCTCCCCAGCTGACCTTCTGACCACTCCCTCCTCTCCCCAGCTGACCGTCTGACCACTCCCCTCCCCAGCTGACCTTCTGACCACTCCCTCCCTCCCCAGCTGACCGTCTGACCACTCTCTCCCTCCCCAGCTGACCTTCTGACCACTCTCACCCTCCCCAGCTGACACTCTGACCACTCTCCTCCCTCGCTCTGCCCGGTGCCGGGCTGCTCTACCCCCCCACCCCCCAGATGACACTCTGACCACTCTCCTCTCGTTCCCCAGCTGCTCTGTGCCGGGCTGCTCGCGCTCGTTCGCGCTGGCCCACCACCTGCGCAGTCACGAGCGCACCCACGCCAAGCAGCGTCCGTTCGTGTGTCGGCAGCCGGACTGTGGGCGCCGCTTCCTCACCCGGTCCGCGCAGCGAATGCACGTGCTGCGCCACCACAAGGTAGGAGCACTGACGGCACTGTGTACCGTGGTACTGGCATGTGCGGTGCCGACCATCGGATATGATAGGACGATTAGGTCCACATTGTCATGAGTATGGCGCAGTAGTGGAAATGTGAAATTTGGTGTGGTGAATGTGGAGTTTCAAAATGTGGAGTTTGAATGTGGACTTTGTTTTGGTTACGGAGCGAGCGAAGCGAGCGTAGTCTTTCCTTGAAATTTCTGAGTATGAGCGGCCGGCCGGCCGTGGTCACGCTTTTGCGAGGCTTATATCTCAGCAACCGCTTGACCGATTTACATGCGGTAATTTTTGTAGGGTAGCTTCATTCCTTCTACCAAGTATTGGACTATTCCCGATGCATGTGGGTGACCCCTTATGCACGTGCCACGTGCAAAACGAAGAGGTGTCACTTTTGTAATTGTTGCAATATCTCGGTAACTACTTGGCCGATTGCGCTGAAAGTTGGCATGTAGGTAGGCACCCACTATGCAATGCATATCCATGTGCCAGAGTTGAGGTGCTGCTGCACGTGCGCACGTGCAGGGGTCGATTCCAGATCTCGAGAACGGCTGGACCGATGGCGCTCAAATTTGGTACATGGTTAGGGACCGGTTAGTAGGGTGCCGTGCAAAAGTCAGTTGGGACCCATTTTGCACGTGCGCACGTGCAGGGTGCCGCTTCCAGATCTCGAGAACGGCTGGGCCGATTGTGCTCAAATTTGGCACATCGCTAGAGACCGGTTAGTAGGGTGCCGTGCACAACTCAGTTGGAGGTACCCCCTCGTAATTTCGCACGTGCAAGGCTCACCCTCTCGCTCGCTCCGTTAGTCGCCCCAAAAGGCGTTATACTGGTAGTGTAATAACTTCAACCCTTTGATTTTTAAATGTCAGTTCATCAACATCGAATAAGACAATAGACGTGCTAAAATGATGAACTTGTTTTCCTGCCGGCATGTAAATTATTTGCTCGCATGTGCCCAGTGACCGACCCTGACATATGTTTGTTCTGTCCAGGGTGTCTCCGCCGGCCCCAGCACAGAGTCGGCTGCGCCGTCCGCTTCAACGACCCCTGAGGTGTCCGCGGTCCAGGAGGACGTGTCCGCCGCCCCAGCAGTGTCCGCTGTCCCGGGGATGTCCGCTGTCCCGGGGGTGTCCTCTGTCGACTGGGGCACGCCGCTGATCGTGCCGATCGGGGAGGACCTGACGGTGACGGTGGCCGAGCCGGGCGTACAGGACGAGGACGAGCCGCCGGCATCAGTCACGGTGACGGCGCCGGGCGCGGCGGCCGGCCCGCGCGGCCCGCCGCCGCCGGCCGCCGGCTCTCAGGGCCTCAGCCCGTCCGACCTGTCCGCCACCGCCCTTCTGACGGCCATCGCCAACCGGCGGACCAGCACTGCGGTGCAGACGTGCGAGACAGCCCGGCCGGCGGCCGCCGCCCGCCCGGCCCAGGCCTGCTGCGGCCCCAACCAGCCAGAGTGTTGTCCGCCAGGCGAGGGGCCGGTCTGCGGCGGCGGCGGAAGCGGCGGTGGCGGCGGTACAGCGACCAGGGGCGCGACGACCGGCGGCGGCTCGCACGATAGCCCGCTGCCGGGCCCGCGGCCGGCCTGCGGCGCCGGTGGCAGTGGCGGTGGCGCCACGGCGGTCTGCGCTGGCAGTGGCAGCGGCAGTGGCAGTGGCGGTACGACGGCCTGCGCTAGCGGCGGGAGTGGCAGCAGTGGCGTTACGGCGGTCTGCGCTGGCGGCGACAGCGGCGGCAGCACGACTGGCGGCACGACGGCCTGCGCTGGCGGCGGCGGCGGCGGCAGCACGACTGGCCCCTGCCTGCACGACAGTCTGCTGCTGGGACGCTCGGCCGCGGAGCCGTGCTGCGTCACGCTGTGCATGAACAAGCTGGGCCTGCTGCAGAGCTTCCTGCAGGCCATGTTCCCGCGCATGGCGTCGTCGGGCGGTATCGGCGACTTTCTGCGCGTGCTGCGCACCCTGCTGACGTGCGAGCAGCCGAGCCTGCGCTGCGGCGAGGACGGGCCGCCGCCGGCCCAGTCGGCGGACGGCCTGCTGCGCCTGCTGGCCTCGGCGGCCGGGCAGCCGTCCAACACCGACACCATGGCCGAGTGGCTGGGCGGGCCGGCCGACAGCGGCGCCGGAGACAGCGCCGCCTAGGCCGGCGGCCGGCGGGAGCGCCCGGGGAGCCGACGCCAGGCGAGTTCGTGCCGTCCGCCGCCGGACCGAGTTATTGTTACACGGGGGGAGGCACGGATAACTATAGCGTATTGCTAGAAGCCTTAGCGGTAGTGGTAGTAGACGAAGCGCCCTGCGCCTTACGCGATTTCGCCAGTAGTTCGGCTAGAGTAGATGGCTTAGTACGCTTACGCTTTCGCGTCGTTCGGTGCATGGGGGCGGGTGTTCGGCGCACAGTGTCGTTGCTGGATGATTGCAGGGAGCGGAGTGTTTCGTGTATCATGAGACCTTCGAACGGTTGTTCCTCTTGGAATCGACTGTTCCATTAGGCTACAGTTATGATTATTGATGTTGGCCAAGCAGTTACGCAATATGTGCTTATCCGATAAGTTCACAAACTATCTTTCATTAATATATAGTGACTAAGTCAGCATACTGGCAGGGCTATGTGTAAAACGCTAGTTCGTTTATTTATTCTTATGCTGAATGCGCGTGTTCAAGAGGCGGTTACTAGTAGGTAGTACCATGATTGCTTTGGATGATTTGCTGTTAATCACAGTACTTTAAGCCTTAGCTATAGGTAGGTGCTGTTGTGCCTAATAAGTCACTAATTAGGGAAAGTTGTAGGCGGTTTCCCCCTCCCGCGGCGGGCTCCACCTCTGGTGGTTAGTACCGATGCGCTCCGGTGCACAGCCAACTGCCATTCGCGTCACATGTTCCGGTCGCCGTCAGTCTTCGCGGCCGTTTGCCCTGACGGCGAAGGTCGCGCCAGAGTGTCCAACCAACTGTGTGAAGTTCAGCTCCTGCTGCTTTTATCAGCGCTGAGCCTCCCAAGGCAACCACAATCCCTCAGTCTGTGAAGATTTGCAAACAAGTACCTAATTCTTTGTCGTTTCTTTTGAACTTAGAGATCCTAAATGTGCAGATACGCCCGGATGATGTCAACAGCTGGATATCGTGACGTTTTATCGAAGATTTCTGTTAGGTTTGTTAACCAGCCATTGCCTGTAGGAGGTGGTTGACCAACGAGCCTCCACCGCTAGAGATGTGACTACTAATCTCAATGGAAGGGCTCCCGTATCGGCTGGAGGGGCTCCCCGCTCTGCTGGAGGGCTCCTGACTCGGCAGTCGTGGTTTCCCGGTGCGAAACTGACGGTGAGACGGCAATGTCGCTGCTCTCGTCGGTTCACGACAGGCAAAACTGGCAGATTTGGTTAGCTGTAACATCCTTTGGTCCGCTGTAACCATTTCGATAACGGCGGCGGTGTTACCCGTACAGATGAGAAATTGAATGCCGCTGTCCTATGCTATGTTCAGAAATTTCGCCGAGAGAACACCTACGGTATGAAACCAAAATGTCATGGCAAAAATAGCCAATGCCTACATCGTCACCCTATTGATCCCTACACCCTACCTCTCTACTCTCACATGGCGTCAATAAATTTCCGATCGAATGTTATTCACTTGCGACACAGTCAGATTATCATTTTGACGTCTGTCGATGAAACGTCACTATATCTAGCATTGGCATCCTATGGTTTTAAGAGCTCTGTGTGCTTACCGTTACGCTAATACCGATTGCGCGGTTCGCTCATGAAGTGCTTTTGCACCAGTTCCAACTTATGTTGATTCGCGTTTTTTTTTTCTTGATAAATGGGATGCTCATGATGATGTTAAACCGCCAGTCGGTGGTGCGGTGGTCGTCCCGGCTCGCCTATGAGCCCGCCAGTCGAGTGGTGTGGCTGTGCTCCCGGTTCGCTGAAGGGGTCGATTCTCGCTCCGACTTGTGAGTGCCAGTGAGAAGGGCAGCAGATGTTACGTAGGTGTGCTGTCGTTTTTGCGTCGTTAATGGTGGCATCGATAATAATCTATTCTTGCTTGTTTATCTTTATTTGCAAGGGCCGCTTGCCTGGTATTGCTGTTTATTCCGTTGTGTAGCTTACCAAAACCAATCAGTTTTCTGGATAATAATCATATGTAGAAACCCTTGACTCCTGCAAGTTATGCAATAAAGTTTTTAATTCAATGGGCGTTTAGCAAAATTTTGATATTGCTTCTAAAATATCCACGCATGGACTGGAGACATTACTGAACATGACACAGCATCACAGCCTGTCAGTAGTTCAATGGAAAGTGGGAACTACTGACAGACTGCTATTGAGTGTGACCGGTATCCTGCGATACAGGGCACCAGTAATACCTATTTCAGTTTTCAAAACCTTGGTTTCCGTGTCAAGTGGACCGAAGAATGACCATATTGAACCTACCCCTCCGATTTTACCAAACTTTCTGAGACTATTTGAAGTTTATCCTTTCCGTTGGCTGGAGCCTTGGCTGGAGCCTGCTCCTGCCAACTGTTGGCGATAGCCTAAGAATTCATCATGCAATCGCCATGAAATTTCTTTACTATCTCGATCAACTCTTTTTTCTTAAGTCTTTTAAAACTATTGCTTCGATTTATATGACCGACATTGTGTCGCTATTCATTAGATTCGCGCAAGAAGTGGCAAATCTTCTTTCCGTGGCGTCTAAGACATATTTTTCAAATGTAAATGCAAATAAAAACTTACCAAAGGCTTAACACTAGGCTTCAAAATAATAACTGTATTAGTGTCTCCCGGGGGGAGGGGGTAGAGCAGGACAGCTCGCCCCCCCCCCCCCCCACCAGCCTCCGACCGGGCACGCCCTGAGATCGATACAGCGATACAGATCCAGTGAGATTTTGAGGTCGGGAAAATGGCGATGGTATAATTATTAATACGTAGGTATTCTGCAAATGACTGAAGCTGGAATCGACCGGAGTCGACGACAGTTTTAGCCATCGTCACAGTCGAAAACATAAAAATCGTTAACCCTCGCCGGCCGGGGGGTGCCGCCCCTCCCCCCCCCCCATAGGGTTTGTTCGCGATAGCTCCGAACACGCTGGCGATAGACAGCTAAAACTTGGCATACCTGACCTTTGATTCAAGCCGGATTTTTTTTTACACCAACCACATTTTCGGGTCAGGTCAGGTCACTGACCTATGACGTCATAAGTGAACCTCCGCACGGTCTTCAGATGTCGCAACTTCGCAACGCCCTCACTGCCACAGGAGCTTTCACAGGGAAATGAAACTTGCAGGATCTAGTATCCATTACGAGTCTCACAACTTGTATATCTCGGATTTTTCCTTAAGGTCATATGAGGTCAGGTCATTTTCGTGACCTCACCTGCATTGTGGGGAAATTGAAAACTGCTATTCTGGCGCCGGGAACGATCTCCAACTACCTCAAGCACACAGAATCGTGATTTGATGCACTCCTTGCAAGGTCTTTTACAATGCTGACCCTGCGTGACGTCATTATGACGTCATGAGGGTCATATTAGTTTGTCGTCAATAACTCCCGATCAAATTGAGCTAGCGAGTCGGGAAAGCCACCAATGGACTCAGGAAGACCTGCCGAATCGAATGATATGCGACATGACCTCCTTCGACCAACTTCGTGACCTGGGGCGCTGACCTGACCGTGTCCTGAGGTCAAAACTCTAAGTTGACCTCACCCAAACAAAAAGTATATCATTCGACGCGCCTGAGCGAGACGAACACGATGCTGCCAAAATCGCGGCTCTGCGGCCGTTTTTGCGAAGTTATTCACCAAAAACTGAACCGTACCTTGGGACACTTGACCTGACCTCAGAGGTCACCGGTTGACCTAGGACCTTAAAATCGGGTATCAACCTCTGCATCTCGTAACGGCGCACACGCTCGTCTTTTCCGTGACGCGCTTAGCGCTAGCTCCACTAGGGGCGAAACGGCGAGGGGGGTCGTACCCTCCCCCGTCGGCCGGCGCGTAGGTATGTAGAAAACCAATAGGTCCGGCGAGGGTTAAGACTTTGACCTCAGGCTTGGATATGCCATTGCTTTATTTCAATCTCTTTTCCATGTTGGTTCTTAGGCATAAAATTTACTCATTTTCACCAGTTGTGTACGCTAGATGCTAAGGTTAGCATCTAGCGTACGTTTCCGAGTTCTCGGAAATTTCGTGTGAGCGTGTGACGCGGAAATTCGGGTCATGTGCAGCTCTGGTCAATGTGCGCGACAGGTTCAAGAGCCGTCTAAACGCCGGCATGAAGCAATCCTTATGGTGAATCAGTGAGTGGAACGGTTTGAGCAGATTTCGGGAAAATCGATAGATTGTTTGAAAAATGTTATCCGTAAATTTCACAACCTTTAGTTCTAATCGTGCGATCCCGTCAAGTCAAGAATACAGCTTATGTTCTAGAACTTTGAAGCTCAGTGAATTGCACGAAAGTGTCAATATCAACAATTTGTCGATCTCAGATATTTCTTTTCGAGACCTGGGGTCAGGTCAGATTTGTGACTTCACCATTATAAGGCAATGGGGAAAAGTGCAGATGCCTCCTGCTTTGAACGAACGCCAAAACTACAAGATATTTACAGAAATATGATCATTCTACCGATACGCAGTGGACAGGGTGCGGCTGATGGTCAGCGGTCACTCAAAAGGTCATGTCAGGTCATAAAAGATCGCCAGCAGTTTTTCGACAATAACTTCTGAAATTACGTAAAATGTGTTCAGGTCATCAATACGGATCGATGGATAGGTATGCAACATGGCCTTTTCCATTCAGGTCATGACCTTGACCTAAGGTCATATTTTGAAGTTGACCATTAGAGGTCAAATTTTATTTCATTCGATGCTTCTCGACGAGAGAAGCACAATTGTGGCAAAATAAACTTCATACTATCATTAACACCAAAGTTATTGCAAAAATTACTTGAAGAATTATTCGATAAATTCGTCTATTTTGGTGGTTGTTGCTGTCTTTGGGCCCAACCGTTGACCTGAGATCAAATCTAAGGACACGGTCATGGAAGAGTTTTGAAAGAGCTATCGAATGCGCTTTTCTGCGACTCTTGCTCCGTTGGCTTGCGAGTTATACAATATACGTCGATTTATGAAAATTGTCAAAAACAGGATTTATTTCGTGATAATTTTTTTTCGTGGCCTCCGGTGATTTCAGCGGTGACCTGATCAAACAATGACTCCTGCTAATTTTGAAGCTCTTATAGCTAGCTAGCTATTGCTTTTTGCCACGTCTTTCTAAGCTTCCTTAGTTTTCAAGATCATCGGATGTGGCCAAATACATGACCCCACTCACTCACTCACCCACCCCTTCCCACCCTGTTGTAAAGTTTGCTGAAACTCCCACCAGCGGCAGATTCATAAAAGGGCGTAAAATGCGACTGACGGTTTTTCAACCATTTGGTTTCATTTTACGCCCAAACGGTTCACAAAGCAATTCCGGGTGTGACCATGGGAGGGCGCATAATACGAGTACGCCTTCGATCGTAGTAGAACCACCGCATCTCTGGAGGGGGTAGTTTCTTAGGGCGTAACATACGCCTTAATGTGAAATACTACCAAGCTTTATGAGATCGGCCACATGGCGCGGGTTATAATACCGGCTTATAAAGTTGACCTAAGGTCAAAGTCATTACGTGACCGGAAAAGGTCAATCTATCCGAATTGTTGACCTGAAAACCTTCCAGATGCTTTTATCACTTTACCTTATCCACTTATCTACACTTATCCTTGCCTCATAAGGTGAGGTCACAAATCTGTCCTAACTCCATGTCATTATTTATTGTCACATGTATGTATCCAAAGTCCTATTAAAAACGGGAATAGGCGAATTGTTGGTGCTGCTTCTCTCAGGCGATACACCGAGGTTTGAACTACTATCGGGATGATAGACTGGCAGTGCAATGTCCCAAAATTTGTCGATTTGGGTGGGAAACGACATCCAAATGAAATTCATTTACCCACTCACACCACCAATTTTTAAGAACAATTTTCCACTCCCACCAAAAAAAAAAAAAAACTAGATTTTTTACCTATAGAAAGAGCAGAGGCCTCTTGCACCAAACTACCTAGCTAGGTAAAATCGAAAAACCGGTTTCAGAATAAGCTAATCTAACGGTGGTAAATTTGTTTGCAATAGCCCAATACATTATCCTACATGTGCTTGCTAAATTTTGCACGCAAATTGTTACATTTGAGACTTGGACTGGTTATGCGATGCAAAATAATCTAAGCATTGGTGCAAGAGGATTTTGGTGCAAGAGGCCTCAGTTGGGTGGATGCCCAGATCAGCATCAAGCATCCTACGTTTTTCACTTGTTGGATCTAATCGAATCAGCAGTTTTTCACTCTCTCCCCTCTTTTTGGTGGGTAATTTCCCCTCTGACACCCAAGACAAAACTCAATTTTGGGACACTGTGGCAGTGTAGGTCGCGCTACGCATCGCTATGAGACAGTGGCGGCGGAATACCCTCAGTTAAGGGGGGAGCACTGCCGAGTTTTGGTCCCATTCTTTCTATGCAACGCCCATAGGGCTTATGTTATAATGCCAAAATCAAAGGGGGGCACGGTGCCCCGGTGCCAACCCCGTTCCGCCGCCTGTGCTATGAGATAAACTTTACGACGTGACCCGAAGCCCTCAGAAACCGGAAATGAAACGCAAAACCGGCGGGATATCATGCTAGAGCACATTAGGCTTTTGGCCGCGATCCACACTGCAATGTGCAGGTATATGCCGACCGGCGAGCGCCGCGCCCGGCCGGCAGACCCCCGATCGGCCGCGGCGCGGCGGGCGGACCGCGGCTCGCTGCCTGGGAGGTATACTGTACCGCACCACACGGCCGTCGGGCGGGACAGCATAGCCGCGATCCGGCCGGATCGCGCCGGCAGAGCTGCTGACGCTGCGCCATACACCGCGTTACCGACTCGACGGATGACCAAACCAGTCATAATATCTAGCCGGTGCGGCGGCGCGGAGCGCCTGTGTTTTTGGCACACTGTTCCTGCATCTTTCCGCACATGTTGTGAAAATTGTAGACCTGGGTCATTCATGGTCAGGTCACCAGGTCACTTTGAGTGACCTCACCTCCTGAAAGTTTTAATGTCTGCCATAGCTACACCAAGTGACTGATTGCTTTGAAACTTTCACCGATTGATCAGACTAACAGTCTGTACAAAATGTTTATCTCTGAAGTTCGATGTCCTAAGGTCAGGTCCATTTTGCGATCTCCCCAATATGGGAGAAAATTGAAGTTCGTCGATTCTGGACGGACGCCATTCTGAACACTTTCAAACACCTAATAACAAGTCAAGTCAACATGACACACTGAACTGGAAAATGGCACCCGTGACCCCTCCTTATATCTCCGAGGTCATCTCAGGTCACAAATGGGGGTCTAACAGTCTTTCGCTAATAACTTCTGATAGACGCATAGTATAGCAATGAGAACACCTCAGATGTGTTCAGGTCGACTATACGGATCGACTGATCTGCAACATGACCTTTTCCGGTCTAGTCATGACCTTGACCTGAGGTCAGATTTTCAAAATGACCTTTTAAGGTCAACTTTTAGGTCATTCGACGCGTCTTGACGAGAGGAACACGATGCTGGCAATACCAATGTCGTGGCTCCCTTGAGTCAAAAGTTATTACAAAAAAAACTTTTTTTCGGACTTTTTTAGTTTTTGCTCTCTGGTCCTCTGGAGGCTAAATCATTGACCTGAGGTCAAATATGAGAACAAATTCAAAAAGTTCCGTAAAATGGCTATCGAATGCGCTTTTCCACGACAATGTAGCTCTATTAGTTCCCGAGTTAGCCGTTGGTAATTTCCAAAATTGTTAAAATGGAATAAATTTGACATTTGATGACCTCTGGCGACCTGACCTTTGACCTAACCTAAAAAATGACAAGTGTTTCCGTCATTATTTTTTTACGGTCTTTCGAATGCCGCTTACCGCTTGTCGCTACGTGGCCCAGGAGCCGAGCTAGACGGGGGGTGTTCAGACACCCTAGTGTCCGAACAGTGTAGAAACCATCTAGTGTCCGCTGTTGAATGTTGCTCGTATTACCAAGTGCAACATGACAATTAACGTATATGTTCTGACTGGAAACTAGTTTATATTGACGTATATTTCAACCTTATCATCCCATTTGTTGTAATCTCCTTTCGTTTCAGCTTTGTGTAATTGTGCTTTAAATCTAGGCTTATGATTTTCAACACTAGAAACAACTACCTATTGGTACCGTGTACCTATTCTTGCTTAGGACAAAGTGTAGGTAAATCAAGTTTCCTTTTTTCATTCGGTTTCATTTGAGAGTTCCTTCGACTTAATTCACGTGCGTTGGCGTCTTGTCGTTTTTGAAATACATGTTTTGCATTTTTGCACTATTTTGTAGACAAAAAGAGCGAGGATCTACAATTAAGTCATTTGTTTGATGCATAAAATCAAAATTATTGCGTTAAAAACGATCAACGAAACGAATTGACGCCACTAAATGACCGCTATCTGTGGTGTCTTTATTTGCGAGCTCCCTATTTTCTCCTGATGTGATGGCATTTATAATGCAATAGCGTAAGAGGGCGGGGAAGCCAGTGTACGAGCGTTATGATAGGCGCTACGCTGACTGGCTGAACGAACTCAGCCAGCATGCGCAGGGAGGGTCCGTTCGTCGGTGAGCGACCAGACGCCGCCTCGCCCTCCAACCGTGGACCCATGATTCTAACGGGTCCCATCGCTGGAGATCGTCCGGTTGTGTTCCGCGTTTCGGGAAGGACGGAGCTGAATGGACCTGACCTGCTTATTCAGGTGAGTAGGAGCGTGGTCTGATTAGTCATCCAATTCAAATTGACATGTAACCATTTACGTGCCTGCTACCTTTGCCAATAGGCTCACAGTCTTTCATTCACTTGCTCTTAGAGTCTGCCAGTGTCGAACGCTTAGTTTTGCTGCCAGCTACTGCTAGAGGATTGTTTTGAAGGAGATAATTCAAAGGTGACGGTCCTGCTAAGTGTAGTTTAGGAAGGGGGATTGGGCTGGCAATGAGACGGCGTTATACGTTATATGCCATGATAATCACTGTAGGCATGCTAAAACTGGTTAATTGCGATTCGTGATGAAATTATTCGGTGTTTTGGCGTACACCGTCTTCCTTCCAAATTAGGCCTTTGATTATTAGCTTATTAAAACACTTGGTTCTTACCTACTTATATCTAACTACGCGCATAATTTCGTTCACTCCGGGAATTAACATATTCATTGCTCTTTAAAGCCAGCTTATTCCCAAAAGTGGTAAGTTATCCGTACCTATTACTTTCTTAGGTATTAGGCAAAGGTCCTTATTACATCAATCTTATTGCACTATTAATTAGGCATCCTCTACATATTGGCAATAAGATTGTCCTTTAGTGGGGAAATAGGTAAGTACCTCGATCATTCAGCAGTCAACTCCTATTTTCAAATGAGCAATGCCCCTAACGGCGGTATGATGGTTATTGGTTTGATCCGCTGACGACTAAGCTATTAAAAAAGAAATGGATTGTTATGCATGCATGCTAAAGTAAATGGTTAAGTCCGTGTCTCAGGAGTCTCGGGCTGGTCCTGCCGGATATTAAAGTTACGGAAATGTTGAGCTGGTGGCCAGTTACGAATTCCCCAATTTTATGATCGATTTAAGCTCAACCAAACGGTAGCCAGTATAATCATCTCATTGCGATTCCCGTTCCAGGCAGCAATATTATAACTTTTCGTAATTGTCAGGCACGAGCCGCTTCGGAACCGTTTGTTGGCGAATGCAGCCGAGTTAAAGGAAAAGGGCCACCTTCGTGAAATATGAAGATATCGTTGTTTTTCATTTTGACATTATTATTTTTCATTTTCTTTTAAAACTGGTGCCAGAAGTGCACAATTCGCGAAAAAGTATTTAAAACCATTTAACATATTGGTACTATGTTGATACTCTCTACGGCACCTACTGTATGATGGCATAGCGATGACGTCACACTCAAGCCAATCAGCATTCAGAACAGACTCGTCGGATTGTGTCAGAATTCAGATAAGCTGATTGGTTTAAGCTGAGCTGGTTGGAGCTGATTAGTAAAAAACCAAAGCCTCGCCGCGGGTGGCTGTGTTGTCGGATAAGAACGCATTCCTGGGATAAGGACGCATTCCTGGCGTATTTTCTTTTAAAATTGCCGATAACTACGAATGGAGGCCGAAATCGGCCGTAAGGAGGTAGACAGACTGGTTTTCAGACACGGGCTACAAGATGGCTATCTCAGTTTCAATCCCCATGTTAAAGGTGGCCCTTTTCCTTTAAAGAAGGCACACAATTACAGTTGTTAATGCGAAAACGGTTGCCGTTGTGCTTGACATATGTATTGTCATTGAAACCGACAGCTTCTTGCAGCACTGGCTACCGCCTTCATCTGGTTTGTGATATGGAGGAACGGTCCCATCGTGTTGCCATGGGCTGTAGATTAAACGGAAAGAAGCTAAAATTAAAACGGCGATTCAACAGGTTACGCCGGAGCCAGACCCGAGGTCATTGGGTCCGGCCTCTGTGGGCTCCTCGGCCAAGCACATATATGCAGCTGCTTGGTAAACTTGATTTGCAGCGAAGAAATAAATAAGTTTATATTTTGACAAATGTGCCGCCTTCATTACGTGTTTTGCCGCCTGGGCTGGCGATCAGCGCTGAAGCACATCGGCCCTCAGACGTCAATTCCCTGCAAAAGGCTCCCGGAACGTGCCAGTAAAACAGGCGCTGACAGTGTCTTGGCGCCCCAGTAAATTCTCCCCGAACCATCCAAACGCCTTTGATGTGGCGTAAACGAAGACGGTGAATACCTCGAGGTGACTAATTGCTAATGCGGCCTTATTAATGCTCGTCGCCGCTGGCATTTTCGGTCCGTCAGCGCCGGCAGCCAGGTTTTCAAGTTTTGTCGATAAACTTAGAAGTAGGTCGCAATTCTCAAAAGTTCACTGCTGTCCAAAACAGCTGAGTGGTCCATATATTGGTTTGAACGGAAACCAGTTCCGCGTGAGCTGGGTACACAAAGTGCATGCATGCAATATGGATAGCAAGGATCGATCCCGCCAGGCATCTCGGGTCCCTGTGGGCTGCTTCACGGAACAACTTGAACACTACAAACTCAGTTTGGTGTATTAAAAGTGGTCTGTGACGTGTGACCCTTTTATCACATAGCGTCTGGTAATTCTGGTGTGGTCGCGAACAAAATAAATTGACATGTTAGGGCTTACGGAAACATTAGCGAGACCGGCTGACGTTTGGCATGTAGGTAATGTTTACCGCAGTTGAGCGCCTTTTTCGCAGCGAAGTGAGCTAGCAGACTGCATCAGAGACGGATCCAGCCCAGAGTTTTTTTTTTTTTGGGGGGGGGGGGGCAAACCATAACAATTTAGATTCTTTCCATGCCTCGTCCATGGCGTATTGTTAAAATTATGCTGTTTGGGAGGGGCAAATGCCCATTTTGCCCCCCCCCCCTGGATCCGCCACTGGACTGCATCGTGTCTTGATTGTGCACTTACTTTTTAGACAAACCTCAAATAAGTGCGTACCTACGCTCAATTCAGGTTTCGCGTAAGTGTGATGCTTCTCTTTCCTTCAGGTTTGTCTGGATCGCGGCTGGATTTTATTTGACGAGGATGCCCATCACGTGGATAATTGGAATATCTGGTGGCGCAATTCCCACTTCTCCATATCCCAGCACCGGCTGCTCCAGCCGTGGCAGGTAAGGGGCAGGATCTGGTAACGCTATACTCTCACTTCTCCATATCCCAGCACCGGCTGCTCCAGCCGTGGCAGGTAAGGGGCAGCATCTGGTAACTCTACTCTCATTACTCCATATCCCAGCACCGGCTGCTCCAGCCGTGGCAGGTAAGGGGCAGGATCGGGATTTCCCGGCAGCATAACCGAACACGAACAATTCAGTCCAGATACTCAGTTAGTTTGATCATGGATGATGCGTTCATGAGTTAATCCATGATAAATCCCTGGGCTGCAGTTTTGTTGATCGGGCGCTTCTTTGTCAGGAATTACCCATCTCGAACATAAACCAGTGTGCATGTCACCGTTTCTTTACGCAGCGGTTGTCTTTTCAGTTTGTCAACCACATTCCGCGAGCCAACTCCATCTGTCGGAAGGACTGTCTGGCGAGGCACCTGCAGAGGATGAACAAGGTCTACGGCAACATCTACAACTACAGGTGAAAACGTAATGCCACAATGACCAATAAAAACACTTATAAATGCTTATGTGTTTGTTATCGACTTTCCATAGTCATACAGCTTTCATAGCATTTGTTGTTTGGTGACTGCTGACGGATTCGCATTGTGTTGCATAGTAGGTATTTGTTTCGGAGATAGATAGACCTGGATTTGAGTGAGTCACGCTGTTGTGGTTAGGTATATAATATGTAGGCGGTGATCGGTGTAAGGCCGGTGGCGGCCGACAGCCCTGTACCGCCGCTCTGCAGTCCACAGACGTACAACCTGCCGCTCGACTACACCAAACTGGTGGCCGAGTACACGCGCATTCTGGAGGAGGGCGACAAGGCCACCTGGATCTGCAAGCCGGTCGGCGCCAGCCAGGGCAAGGGCATCACCATATTCTCGGTAAGGGGGCGCCCACTGAGCGGACGCACAGGCAGGCGGGGCTGCGGACCGAGCCGACCGCCGTGCGACGTGAATGTCGTGGGGTTTATGAATATGGAGTGGGATGGCCGCTGGCTCAGGATGTAGGTTTTGCGATTCATCACACATACATGCCTCTAAATATTTTGATGTGAGTTACGCGTCCAAAAGTCATTCGATGCCTACAATTGTTACCGTGAGCCGGGAGTGACGCTGATGAGCGTGGTGTCGCGCCGACAGGAGCTGTCCACGCTGCAGTACGACTCGAACGCTGTGGTGCAGCGCTACATCCACAATCCGCTGCTGATCGCCGGCTACAAGTTCGACCTGCGCATCTACGCCTGCATACCCTCCTACCACCCGCTTACAGTCTACCTCTACGAGGAGGGGCTGGCCAGGTGAGCGGGAAAATGACACATTGGGTGGAGAAAGGTGTGTGTTTGTGAAAAACACCGGACTCTGCTGCACTATTTTCCTTTCGTGCAATCTGGTGGGGTTCTTATATTGATGAACAGTGCATCGTTGTGATATTATTTTTAGCATCAAAGGTACTTCGCAGTGATTACGCGGACCTTTTGCATGTCAAATGAGCCTGCCACTTCATCAGCAATTTTGAACACGCAACAGCGCTCACTCTTGCAATATTGGTGAAGTTAATTTTCCATGAAGTACGACCTCTGAAGTACGACCTTTCCATGAAATGCGACAGCAGCTCAAAAACGTGCCTCCACCCAATGCAGTATGCAGAAGGCGGCGGCTCTCTGAGATTACCTGGGGCCATTTGCGACCGTTGGTTTCTGACGGTTTTGCTGTCGTATTCGACACGGCGGCTCCCAAAAGTGGAGCGGCCGCCCGGCGACCGTCCGTCACGCACGGCCGACGGACGGTCTCCGGCCGTCACGTGACCGGTGCGCGCCGCCGGCCGGCCGGCACACGGGGCTGTCACGTGACACCGGCGGTGTGCCGGCGGCGACACGCGAGCACCCACTGGCCCGGCAACGACACCCAAATGGATGAGGCGAATGAGGCCGGCCGAGGGGCTGCGTGACGGTGCCGCCTTCCAAACGCCGCGCCACCCAGGACAGAAATAGTTTTTCTGGCCCTCCGACGGATTATTGGAGGTGTGAAAAATAGTGGCCTGTGATAAAACGTCTGATTTTATTTGGATTGGGTCTTATTACCCGGAACGAATGGATTTTTGCTGCCGTCGTACTTTCCTCAAATTTGATAAGGAAAATAATGAAAAAAGCCAGGAAAATGCGACCTAAAGCAGGGCTAATGTGTCAGAGTAGGAGTCGGAGCCGCAAAAAAAAAAACCAACTCCGACTGCGGAGTCGGAGTTAACATAACATGCCCTATACATGTTTTCCTAGAGAATAGTTAGCTTGTTGACCTTTCCAAAATAGCTTTTGTCGAAGCTTAGGCCATAGGTACCTACTGCTGTTTTTGACGAGCGTTTTCAGCGAAAAAAGAAGCACAAGCTGGCCCATACGCCAGAACCTGCTTTTAGTTTTGTAGGTTATTTATAAAGTTTGTTTTAAATGTAAGGCTTTGGAAAGCACAAAGGATTGTTTCACGGGCAAAAGAAAGATCTTCGACATGAGCTTGAGCTTGACTAGCGAAATATTCGGAGTCAGAGCTGGAGTCGGAGTAGATTTTTGAAGCTGGAGCCGGAGTCGGAGTCACCAAAAATCCATCGACTCCTAACTCCTGACCTAAGGTATAATCAACTTTCCGCTCATCTTTCCTTTTTACGCACGGAGCTAAGGTTTTCCTGTTCGCCGCTAGATGTCACTAGTGTACAACGCCTGCAACTATGCTGTGCCGCATTACATATCGAACGGATGACCTGCTGGAGATGCCTGTAGATAAGGTTCCCAGCGGCCAGCGTTAGCGTTTAGCAGTTAGGCACTGCCAAAAGTGGAGATACGTGACTATTTTACCCCGAAAGTGCTTTGCGTGTTTGCTCCAGCATCTTCAAGCTTCATTCGCTTAAGAGAAAGGACCCGCCCAGCCGAAAGAACTTAACCCAACAAAACAAAACAAAACAAAACAAAACAAAACAAAGAGAATGATTCGTGAAAACCCTGCTTCCCGCCTTGATGATTTGCGATCGGCTGCGGCACGCGGTGACGTTGTTTGAATTTTTATAGCCACTAATACCTCATGTACCCAGCCACGACGGTTTGTCTTTAGTTTAATTGTGGGATAATTTCTGAAGCTGTGAAGTTTGCTACTGTCAAGTGGCCGTCAGATGACGCGCTGCTGCGTCTCAGCCCGTCCTGAGAGACAGGCTAATGAGCCGCGCTAACGATAAATCCGGCGGGATTTAACTTTATCGCTTCTCGGGCGCTTCCCCATCGAGAGCTGACCTCGCCAGCTCGAAACAGGGGTGGGTGATCAAAAACGAGGTTTGATATGTCCTTAGTATGGAAAAATGTTTCTCTCTCAATGAATAGTCGAGAATGGGTGACGGTTACTATATAAACTGCTCTGTCGAGAACCGTTAAAGGAAATAGTTCACTTTCACGAAATTATTTTTTTTGCAACGGATTTATTTTTTATGTTCAAATAATCAGCAAAGAAAATAAAACCTTTTATAACAAAAGATTATTTTCTATATTTTGATATAGGAAGAACTTTTCAGTTTCTGTAAGGCACAGTCGATCCAGTATGAAAGAGCATGGGTCCCGAAAATTCTTCAGAAACAGAGAAATTATCGCAGCCACCGGCATTTGGGCGATCTGCTCGATCTGATAATGTTCCCCTGAATGTCCTAATTGATCAGTACGAGAATTTCTCTAGAGTTCTCGTAGATAATTTCTCTAGTTTCTGAATAATTTTCGGGACCCATGCTCTTTTCATACTGGATGGAAATATATGCAAGGCACACATCCTCAACGGAAGACACCTTTTTCGGGACGAAAAATAGAATATCTTTGCCTAGGGTGATCGTTGGGCTGTAAAAGCTCCCGATTTATGCTCGTCTCAGCCCAAGCTACGGAACTGCTATTCCAGTTCAAAACCCATGTTAAAAAAAAGTGAACTATTTCCTTTAAGAATTACTGCTGCGTGTCGCAATTACAATGTCCATCGCCTTATGCTGCCCACAGATTCAGCACAGAGAAGTACAAATGATGTACCTGGATAACAAGTTCTCACATTTAACCAATACGTCTCTAAACAAGCTGGGACCTGCCTACTTTGTAGAAAAGGAACGAATTGGCGCAGGTTGGTATCAGGGCTTCCGTCATACGACTGATGTGGTTACTGGTTTTGACAAGAATAGTATATCGATGACTGGATGTGGATATCGAACACCTCAAGTTTAGACGGTAGGTCATTGTGTAATAGCGATGCCATTGGTCGCTGACCGGAGACACTCCATGCATATTCGATTGCTGACCGGTGCGCCGCTCCGCCGCCAGGGAGCAAGTGGACTCTGTCGCAGCTGCGCCACTACTTCCACCAGATGGGCGTCGAGGACTGGCTGCTCTGGCAGCGGGTCAACACCATCATCTCGCTGACGGTCCTCAGCCACATACAGGACGTGCCCGTCACCCGAAACTGCTACGAACTCTACGGGTTCGACATACTGGTAAATGTGGTCGGTGCCTCCCTCCGGAGCATCGTAAAGTCAGAAAGGAATGTCAGATGCCGGTCGAATATTATGGATAACTAAATGCACAAAGGTTACACAAAGGCACAAAGGTCCTTAGAAAATGATGTTCTCTTTTCCGTGTTAACAATAGTTTGATCACGTGTTTTATTCGGCACCGATAACTTCGTGAATCAGCGAGTTCAGCGGCGCTGTTTATGGCGCTGTTTACAGCTGAGATCCAGTGAATGTGTGACGCAGTGCGATGCAGTGCTGCAGTGTCAGTGTCTCCGTCTGTTGACCCGGCCTCCTGTCTGTGTGTGACTGGCTCAGATCGACTCGGACCTGCGCCCCTGGCTGATGGAGGTCAACCTCAGCCCGTCGCTGACCGCCGACAGCGACGTCGACATCTACGTCAAGAAGCCGCTGCTCAACGACCTGTTTGACCTGATCGGACTGCCGACCTCGCTCAACGACCCGACCGTCTCGCCGCAGTGGCCCGTGCCCGACGAGAAGCTCTTCACCAGGTGAGGCGCCAGACGAGAAACTCTTCACCAGGTGGGCGCCAGACGAGAAACTATTTGCCAGGTGGGACCCGCCGGCGGTCTCACTGGCAGCGGTCTGTTTGAGAGTACCCTGTGACGGCCGACGTCAGGCTGGCTAGATTAGATCGTAATGTAATATGGTAGTTAAAAGACGATTTGTTGCCAACTATTAGAACATAATAATGATTTATTGGACTTGACTCGCAGTTGGAAGACAGTAAGCGTTCTAAGAATATTCTTCCAAAAGTTCGTCTTGTCATTCCATTCGTATCACCTTATGGACTCAGCACACATAGAACATCATATACGAGTGCAACATTGTGTGGTGGCCTGGAGTATGCAAACAAACTGAGTGTGTAAGCCACGTTACGTGTATTCAGGGGACCGTTCGATAGCCAACGCAATGACCAGGCTAAATGTCGCAGCATGGAGTGTTGCCGGGACTGCTGGCATTGAGTCATCGTCGGTAAGGACAGTCGATTCGGCTAACAACCTCTGATACTGGTGACCTTTGTGTTGTTTGCAGACCGAAAACGGTGCAGGAGATCCGTGAGCAGAACGCCGCCCGCCGGCGGAGGAAGGAGGCGGAGGCGGATGAGCAGCAGGCGGCACAGCCGGTCACCAAGGAGGCCAGCTCGTCCTCGGTGCGCCAGAAGCGCCTCAAACAGCGCACGGCCTCGGATCGGGCCGACGACGCGGCCAGCGCCAGCGACACGGACACCTGGCCGGACTGTGGGCGCCGCCGCTCGGACGACTGTCTGACAGTGATCTACAGCTCGGACCGGCAGATGTCGTCGGGCTCGGTGGCGCTCGACTGCTGGCGGCGCGCCGACGGCGACAGCACGCCGCGCTCTGACACCACCTGCGCCGGCTCCGAGCCCGGCCTGGTCGAGGAGCCGTGCGCCGCCGCCGCCGGCTCCGACCCCGAGCTGGGGCCGCCGGCCGGCGCCGGGTCGTGGACTGAGCTGCGCGCGCGCCGCTGCGTGTCACGCGAGGGCAGCGAGGTGCTGCTGCGGGGGAGCGGGGCTCGGCCGCAGCCGCCCGGCGGCGAGGGCCGGCCGGCGCGGCGCGGGTCGGCCCGGGCCGCCTCAGTGGATGACCTGCTGCACAGCCCGGCCAGCATTAAATGGGGGAAGAGCTCGGACACTCTGGAGAGCGGCAGTCTGGAGGCCCGCAGGAGGAAGTCCAAGGACAAGTTCAGGAGAGAGGACGGCGCCGGCGGGAAGTACCAGAGAGCCAGAAAGGCTCCGTCGGACGAG